ATACTTCCGAGTGTACTATTTCCACTTTGTAAATTAGTTGTGCCACTCCCTAATATGAGTCCATTAATAGCACTGCTGTCTGTGTCCTAACCGATACCAAGTCCTAGTCATCCATCAGCTCAATGCTCACTGACCTGTATTAGTGCCAGCTCAATTTTAAAAACCTCATTCTTGCTTTAAAATTCCATTCCAGCCTTGCCTCCTCCCAAATCTTCTCTAGTCTGCAACTCGCTCAGAATTCTAGCCTTCCATGTCTCCTGTTTTTTCAATCATTTCATTGAGTTTTCAGCTGCTAAGTTTCATAATCCCCTTTCTAACTCTGTCTGCCTCAATCACTATCTCTTTTGTTTCCTGCAAGATGCGTCTTAGAACATATTTCACTGACCAAACGTTTATTTGCTTCTCCCAATATTTGCTTATGTCACCCAGCGTCAAGTTTTGGGGATATTCAATGCAGCTGCATTAATATACTAATTATCAGTTTCTTTTTCTGAAAGTTTGTCTTTCCCAGAATATTACATGGTTGCGCAATTGCAGAGATAGTCAGGATGTGTTTGGTCTAAGAAAAAAGTAACTGATTCAGCCTTGCTGGAGTACATAGCCCTTCAATCAGATCATGGCTGATTCACATTTCCTCTTCCCAAGTGTGCTGTGTGTGCATGTTTATGAAGTGATGCTCCACCCATCACGAACGGGAGTCAGGCTTGATAGACAAGCTGATCCATTTCTGCCCATCTTTTGCACACGCTTGATATAATGTTTTATCTTCCAGACTAGCCAGAAGACCGCTCAAAGGGTTGATCACTGTTGAACTGAAGATCCTCTTGAAATCAAGCCTGCTTTCCAAATTTTGTTTTTCTTTATTTGTTCACGGGATGAGGATGTCGCTGGCTAGGCAGCATTTATTGCCCATCCCTCTTTGCCCATAGCGCAGTTCAGAGACAACCACATTGCTGTGGTTCTGGAGTCACATGTAGGCCAGACCAGGTAAGGATGGTAGCTTCCTTCCCCTAAAGGACATTAATGAACCAGATGGGTTTTTTTCCAACAATCGACAATGGATTCATGGTCATCATTAGACAATTAATTCCAGATATTTATTGAGTTCAAATTCCACCATCTGCCATGGCAGGATTTGAACCTGGGTCCCCAGAACGTCATCTGGCTCTCTGGATTAACAGTCCAGCAATAATACCACTAGGCCATCACCTCCCCTTTCCAAATAACATTTTACAAACACAGCAAGTCCCAAAATACTTCACAGCCAATTAGGTAATTATGAAATGCAGTTACTTTTGAATGTATGAAGTACATCACCAATTTGCACAAAGCACGGTCCCTCAAAAAACAGAGAATCTGTATGAACAGTTTTAGCTAACGGATAATTATTGATCAGGACACTGAGGTTAGGTCCTTGGTTCTTCTTCCAAATAGTCATGCAACAATTTACAACCAATTGAAGGAAGGTGAAAGGCCACAGTAATGCTTGCAGCTGAAAGGTAGCACTTTGAACACCACAACAGCAGCCATAATTGAAGCAGAGCAAGATAGTAGACAAAGACACATCCCTCCCTGACGTGCTCAATGCTTTCTGTGCTTGGTTCAAGCAGAATGCCAATGGTGTAGTGTCACATGCCCCGACAACCCCAGACACACCTGTTCCCTTGGTCACCGCTGCAGACATCAGATCTGTCTTCCTGGGAATCAACCCAAGGAAAGCAATGGGCCTGGACGGTGCCCACGGCTGAGCACTCAGGTCCCATGTGAACCAACTGGTGGAGGTATTCACCAGCATCTTCAACCTCTCCCTCCTACAAGCTGAAGTCCCCACCTGCTTCAAGAAGACCACCACCGTCTCCGTACTTAAGAAAACACATGCAGTGTGCCTTAATGACTACTGCCCAGTGACTCTGACCTCAATAATCATGAAGTGCTTCGAAAGGTTGGTCATCGCCCACATCAACGTTAGTCTCTCCACCTGCCTTGATCCCCTACAGTTTTCCTACTGATGTAACAGGTCCACAGCGGAAGCCATTTTCCTGCACTCATCCCTGGGACAGCTGGACAACAAGGACACCTACATCAGACTCCGGCTCATTGACTACAGCCCCGCCTTCAAGACCATTATCCCCTCCAGACTGATCTCAAAACTCCGTGACCTTCGTCTCGGCTCCAACCTCTGCAACTGGATCCTCAGCTTTCTGACGCACAGACCGCAATCAGTGAAGATCGACAACTGAATCTCCTCCACAATTACATTTAACACCGGAGCCCCCTGGGGATGTGTCCTCAGTCCCCTACAATACTCATGTACACCTATAACTATGTTGCCAAATTCCAAATGAATGCCATCTACAAGTTCGCTGATGACACCACCATAGTAGAATGGACATCTAACAATGATGCATCAAAATACAGAAGGGAAACAGAGGGCTTGGTGAGAGATAGTAGGAACTGCAGATGCTGGAAAATCTGAGATAACAAGGTGTAGAGCTGGATGAACACAGCAGGCCAAGCGGCACTACCCCTGTCTAAATATCGGCAAAACCAAAGAACTGATCATTGATTTCAGAAAGAAAGGAGGACAACACGTCCCCATCTACATCAACAGAACTGAGGTGGAGAGAGTGGACAACATCAAGTTCCTCGGAGTCATGATAGCCTGTCCTGGACTTCCCACACAGATGCGATGGTCAAGAAGACACAACAACGCCTTTTCTTCCTCAGGCGGCTCAGGAAATTTGGCATGTCCATAAGGACTCTGATCAACTTCTACAGATATGTAATTGAAAGCGTAATGTCCAGGTGAATTACGGCCTGGTATGGCAATCTGCTCTGCCCAGGACTGGGAAAAAGGTGGTGTGCACAGCCCAGACAATCACAGAAGTGAACCTTCCATCCATGGACTTCATTTACACGGCTCACTGCCTCAGAAAGGCTGCCAACATCATCAGAGACTCACAGAAGCCTGAACACATGCACCAGCAGGTTCAGGAACAGCTCCTTCCTGGCCATTATTAGCCTGATGAATGGACTCTAGACACAAAAAGTGCTGATCTTGCTAACGTTGATCTCGCCTGGCCTGTTCAATGTAATCCGTATGCCTCTGTCTAAATCTTTTTGATCTGTACATTCTTACTAACTATGATCTACCTGTACTGATCATAAACAAACCTTTTCACTGTACTTCAGTACACGTGACAATAAATCAAATCAATTGGTGCACTGAAGTCCCAGAGGTGGACTTGAAGCCAAACCCTTCTAACCCATAGGTGACAGCATGACCAACCAAGCTATAGCTAACATTCAGCATAGTCTGATTTTTCACTTTATTTATCTAAGTGCTGTGATTTAGCTTGAAACAGCATTCAAATTTAACCTATTATATCATTTAATATCTAAATAGTTTTCACAATGGCTTTCCATGTCTCTGATTTGAGAGGGTTTCAGTATTGATTACTTGTAGGAGTCAGAGAATGTAAAGTTGCCCTACATTCTGGAGAGAGATCTAGACAGGTTAGGTGAGAGGGCAAATTTTGGAAGATGGAAAATAATGTGGGAACATCTGAGGTTGTGCACTTTGGTAGGAAGAATAGAAAGAAAGACTGCAGAAACATAGCGAACAGAGAGATATGGGAGTCCTCGTGCACAACTCACAAAAGTTAGCATCAAAGTTCAACAGATAATAGGGAAGCCGTGATTTGGAGGCGCCGGTGTTGGACTGGGGTGGATAAGGTCAGAAGTCACACAATATGATAGGGAAGGCAAATGAAATGTTGGCCTTTATTTTAGAGGGAATGGAGTATAAAAGTAGGAAGGTTTTGTTAAAATTACACAGGGCACTAGTTAGACAGCAGTTGGAATACTGTGAAAAGTTTTAGACCCCTTATCTAAGGAAAGATATGCTGCCCTTGGAGGCAGTCCAAAGAAGTTTCACTCGGTTGATCCTGGATATGGAGGGATTATCTTTGGGGACAGGTTGAGTAGGTTGGGCCTGTACTCATTGGAATTTAGAAGAATGGGAAGCAACCTTATTAAAACATACAGAATTCTTGGAGGTCTTAATGGGTAAATGTGGAATGGTTGTTACCTCTTATGAGACAGTCCAGAACCAGAGGACATAATTTCAGGATAAGGTTGGCTAACTAAATTAAAGATGAGGAGAAATTTCTTCTCTCAGAGGGTTGTGAATCTGTAAAATTCCTTTAGGATTGGGTGGTTAAATATGTTCAAGGCTACAACAGACAGACTTTTAACCAGTAAGGGAATCATGAGTTATGCAGAAAAAGCAAAAAAATGGAGTTGAGGATTATTGGGTCAACCATGATTTCATTGAATGATGGAGCAGACGGATGGGCTGATTGGCCTACTTATGCTCGTATGTTTTATGGTGATGGTCTTATACTTTCTAATGCTTATGCCTATCCTTCAGTTTTTTTTTTGCCTCATAATTCTTGAGCCTTTTCCAGATATTTTGTAACCAAATGTTTGGGGAAAACGTTTGGTTGAGGGCAAAACTAAGTTAATTTTGGATTCAGTCATAAAGGCTAATGGAGTATTAAGAACCATCATACGCAGCTCCATTGAAGTCAGCCTGCAGCTTTTAGTCAAAGTTGCTATCTCTTTTGTTTTGACACTTAACTTCCAAATATAGGCTGCGCCTATTCTTTGTGGTCTTTAGAATTCAGGAAGGGGTTGCAATCATCCTGCTGCACCATCCCACCAAACTGTATGAGTCACAATCTTAGCTGAGGTCTAATTCAGAAACCTATAAAAAGTTAAGCAGTTTCAAGTTAAATTCTCTAACTTTATGCTACAAAGAGTTAACATCTTTTCTGTCACAAGTCACGCAAGGCTACACAGCTGGTGGTCAAATGTAGTCAATTATTTTTTTGGCTGAATATCTTTCCTGCCCAGAAGAAGAAAATATTATCACATTTCGCAATAAATCCCTCCACCCTAATGGCTGTCAATCATGCTTTTACAACAGCATATATTAACCAATCACAGATCGTAGTAGGATGCAAGCTAGGAATTTATCATTTCCTTTTTAATGTACAATTTGAAAGTTTGGAGCCGATGAAGTGACGAGCAGTCAGACTCCAAGCAGTGCCCTTACAGGGGTAGCTGTGAAAAATCGACAGAAAGCAACTTCTCTTACAAGAACTGAACAAACAGACTTGATCTTTTTCTCAATGTGTTATTTGACAGGATGTCAAATATTTGTAAAGAACAGATTTGGTAAGTTGACTTTAAGTTGCGGTGTTAGTGAATAGGCATTGCTGTCATTCAAGGCAAGTTCAGTTATGCTGAGCCACAAATCACACAGGGAAAGTGGCACAGCTAATTTACAACGTGGAAATAGTACACTCAGCAGTATAGCTAATCAGAGATAGTAGGAACTACAGATGCTGGAGAATCCGAGACAACAAGGTACAGAGCTGGATGAACACAGCAGGCCATGCAGCATCATAGGAGCAAGAAAGGCTGACGTTTCGGGCCTAGACCCTTCTTCAGAAATGGGGGAGGGGAAGGGGGTTCTGAAATAAATAGGGAGAGAGGATAGAAGATGGATAGAGGAGAGGATAGGTGGAGAGGAAACAGACCGGTCGAAGAGGCGGGGATGGAGCCAGTAAAGGTGAGTATAGGTGGGGAGTTAGGGAGGGGTAGGTCGGTCCAGGGAGGACGGACAGCTCAAGGGGGCAGGATGAGGTTAGTCATAGTATAATATTGGTTAGTAGAGCTGATAAGCTTTATTACTTTATAACCCAATAGTGCTTGTCAGTATAAAGAACAACACCCTTAAATCAGTTATTAGCTAATTGCTGTTTATCATTACATGCAATTTTATATGTTCCTCGTTGGCCAGTTGCTAGAGCATGCAACCCTTAATCTTAGGTTCATGGGTTCAGGCCCCACCCAAGAACCTTTTTTTAAGAGGTGTGTAAAAACATCTCTGAACAGGTTGAAAATAGATTAAATGAGAAAAAACAAAGGCCATCATTTTTAGAGGGCACTTGTGGTGCAGAGGTAGTATCCCTACCTCTGGACTGGGAGGCCTGGGTTCAAGTCCCATTTGCTCCAGAACCATACATACTATCTCTGAACAGGTTGCTCAGGAAATAACATTAATGTAAAAAAGTGTACAGCATTATATGTATTGACTAGTTAAAGGGGTGCCAATTTAAAACTGAGATAAGGAAGAATTTCCTCTCCCTGAGGTTTGGGACTCTTTGGAACTCATAGTCACAGACAGCTGTGGGAGCAGAGTCCTTGTGTATATTTAAGACTGCGATAAATAGATTCTTGATCAGTTGGAGAATCAAGGTTTGCAGGATAAGGACAGGAAAGTAGACACGAGGAATATCGAATCAGCCATGATCTTACTAAATGGTGGAGCAGGCTCGAAATGCTGAATGGCCTGCTCTTGTTCCTATTTCTTATGGTCTTAGAAAGAATTGACTAGTTAAATAATTGACTGAGATCTGTAGATTATTGTCCAAAAAGGGCATTGATCGATATGTGGAGCTAAAATTGGAAAACAACGTTGAGGTGTGGGTTAACCATTGATTTATCAAATGATTACACAAGCCTGAAGAACCGAGTGGTCAACTCCAGCTCCGAAGCTGGCAGAATATTATTGGACTAATGTACATCATTTTGCGTATGCTACATACCTTCAAGCAACAAAAACTGGTAGCCACAAAGTAGTATTTCCATCCGTTTTCTCCAAATGGAAGTGAAAACATGTACTTGCAAATGCATCAGTATTGCCCCATTTGTGATTTTAAATGACAGAGTATTGTGTTTTGGGCTTTGAAAAGAGTTCAGAAGAAGAATTTTTACTGTCTTATTACTTTGCCATCCATTCTGAGATAACATGGCACAAACCAACTGCCAAATAATCTTATAGTTGTAGCAGATCAAGACATCAGAATTAAAGAGGCAATTGTAAAGTTTTCTTCAGAGAAAGAAAGGTGATTTTTATTTACTATAAACCCAGAGAAAACTAATAAAATGCAATATCAAACACATAAAAACACAGATACAAAGCTTAAGGAGGGGAGGCTGGCTAATCTAAAGAGAGTTGAGAATAGGCAGTTCAAAAAGTTCTTGGAGTGCTGTCATAGTTTAGCCTTAAGACCACAGCTGTTTATTTATTGTCTTGTATACTCAGCAAAAATAAAATTTGTTGACTCCTTCCTAGTGATGAATGAATGTTTCCCCATTTTGTTTTATCACTGGTGCTGGCTTTCAAAATATTGAGACGAGAAAGAGTGAGAGAGAGAGGGCACATTGTTATCTCTGTCAGGTGCTCTGCCAAGCAGCTGGTAAAACATGGTTCATTTGTGTATTCCCAAGTCTGGCTCCACCATCTTTCCAAGCTGAATAGTGTCATGCAACACTTTCATGTCCAATATGTGCATCTCATCCAGGTGCAACTTAAAATGTGAGCTGTAAGTTTGTTGACATCTGACTCAGTTGAACAGTTTCAATCTCTTTAGCTAAAATGGTAACTTCAGTTCAGATGATTTTGTTTATTCCCCATTGGTTTCCTGAACTTGTCTCAGCCTGTGGTCAGGCGATCATTCCAGCCATTTGAGGTCCATATTTCTTCCTCTGTAAAAACCATTTTAATTCTTGAGAGATTTCAAGTATTAAAATCATATGTTGAAAATTGATAGTCTATATTTATAGTTGTAGCAGAAAATACAAGGTTACAAAACAAAAGGATTTGATATATTCTACGTGGGAGAACTCTTGGGAATGTTTATATTTTAAGACCCTTGAGTCAAAGGTCAAGTAAAGGCACAATGAGGTTTTAATAAGTGAATGCAATATTTTTAGGTCCTCTGCTGGATGGAGGGCTTCAGTCTAAATACAAATAGGTCATCATGAAGAATGTTCATGGTTTTAAATGTAGATTCTGTTGCAGTTTTGAGTTTCTAGAGATGCTTTATGTTCACACTGAGGAATGGAAAGCTGTTCCGATGAAAGCACCCACCATTGGCATGGAGCATTAGTTTCAGAGTGACACAGGTTTGGATGTATGGACCCACACGCACACAAATGCTCACGTGCACACTCCTGCACGCACACTCCTGCACACACACAAACGTGCATGCGCGCACACTCCTGCATGCACACAAATGCGCATTCCCACATGTACTCAAACGTGCACGCATACTCACACGCACTCTCTCACACACGCACGCGCATTCCGACACATACACAAATGCACACACAAATACGCACACATACTCACACACTCTCTCACACACGCACACACTCCCATGCATACAAAAACATGCTGCATACTCACACGCACTCTCTCACACATGCATGCGCACTCCCACGTGTACACAAACGCACACACAAATACGAACACATACTCACACGCACTCTCTCACACATGCACACACTCCCATGCATACATACATGCTCACACGGATTCTCCCACACATGCACGCACACTCCCACGCATACGCAAACGTGCATGCATACTCACACGCACTCTCTCACACACATACCCACACTCCCACGCGTACACAAATGCGCACACATACTCCCACGCATACACAAACACGCACACATACTCACACGCACTCACACTCACACGCACTCACACACGCACACACAATCCCACACAGACACAAATGCGGACACATACTCCCATGCACTCTCTCACACATGCACACACACTCCCAAGCATACATAAACGTGCACACGTACTCACACACACTCTCTCACACACGCATGCACATTCCCACGGGTTCACAAATGCGCACACATACTCCCACGCATATACAAACGTGCACACATACTCACATGCACTCTCCCACACACGCAAGCACACTGCCACACATACACAAACGCACACACATACTCACATACACTCACTCACACACACACGCACATTCCCACACGTACACAAATGCACACACGTACTCACATGCACTCTCTCACACACGCACTCTCTCACACACGCACGCATATTCCTACAGGTTCACAAATGCGCACACATACTCCCACGCATACACAAATGTGCACACATACTCACATGCACTCTCCCACACACTCACACACACTCCCACGCATACACAAACACCCACACATACTCAGACACACTCTCTCACACATGCGCGCACATCCCCACGCATACAAAAATGCACACACATACGCACACTCACTCTCTCACACACGCATGCACACATAATCACATGCACTCTCTCATACACACTCCCGCACATACACAAACGCGCACACATACTCACACGCACTTTCTCACACACACACGCACACACTGTCTCACACACACACGCACTCTCTCACACACACACACACACACACACACAATATGTTACAGCGTGCAGGTCTCCTTAAATTGTGGAAAACAAAGTGAAAGATCTGCTGCACTAGGAATTTTGTGCTAAAGTCCATAGTTTACACATTGTCAGCTTAAGTTAATTAAATCACAGATTGTCACAACTTACATTGGCACTGGTTTCTCTATTAGCCTCGTGATAGAATTGAATAGAAGTCTAATTGTCCTACAAATTTCTGCAGACCCCAGTTTACTTCACAATGTTTGATGTTGCTGGTTATTATTAATCATGAGTATTATTCCAGTTATGAGACCTACAAGGAGACAGCAGATTGGTTGCTGTCAAAGATCAGCTATCGACCAAAGGTGGCGATAATCTGTGGCTCTGGACTCGGAATGCTTGCCGATGCACTCACAAACCCGAAGATCTTTAAATACGCTGATGTCCCCAACTTCCCCCAGAGCACAGGTATGGATCACAGACTGTTGAGGTCTTCAAAAACATGAAGTGATATGATTCCTTCAATCAGGTTGACATTCGTAGGATTGCCAACAAAAAGACACTAGTTTAAAATAAAAGCAAAATACTGTGGATAGTACAGGTCGGAAACAAAATAATGTCAGAATCCGAACAGACGTACAGTAATTGGCAAATGAACCAGTGGTGGGGTGATGAGAAAATAGCACGTTATGGGCAAAGTTCTTATGGTTCATAATTTGCTGCTGGAAACAATGGTGGAAGCCAATTCAGTGCAACTTCCAGAGGGTAATTGGATATAGGCTGGAAAATGGATAAAGGGAATGAGCAGAGAAATGAGATTAATTACAGAGCCATTACAGGCACAGTGTCTGAATGGCCACGTTTTGCACAGCAACTACAATATGATTCTACAGTCAGAATCTGTAGTTCTGAGTAATAAATTTAAACATGTAGGAAATGCTCACAACAAATCACAGAATTACACTGTGCAGACGGAGGCTATTCAGCTTATTGTGGCTACACAGAAGGAGGCCAATCAGCCCACTGTGCGAATGCTGGCTCCTGGCAAGATGAAATCGATTGGGTTTGTTCTTTCCCAGTGGCCCTGCTCATTTATTTTTCAATAAATCCAGATTCTAACCCCTTGCTGTGTTTAAAGAAAAATGCATTTCCACATGTTGCCTTTGGTTTTTTTTGTCATTTCCCTATATTTCCAAGTAAACAAGTCAGTGAGGATCGGTGAGTTACAGTCTTACTTAGAGTTGTACAGCATGGAAACAGACCCTTCGGTCCAACTCATCCATGCCGACCAGATATCCTAAATTAATTTAGTCCCATTTCCCAGCATTTGGCCCATATCCCTCTCAAGACTTCCTATTCATGTACCCATCCAGGTGCCTTTAATGTTGCACCTGCTTCCACCACCTCTTCTGGCAGCTCATTGCAAACACGTAGCACCTGTTGGACTGTAACCTGGTGTCGTGTGATTTCTGACTTTAATCCTAAGCCCTCTAGTTTTGGACTCCCCTAACCTGGGGAAGAAAACCTTTGCTATTCATCTTATCTACGCCCCTCATGAATTTATAAAACTCTATCAGGATCCCCCCTCAACCTCCTACACTCCAGGAAAAAAGTCCCAGCCTATCCAGCATCTACTTATAACAGTCCAGTCCTGGTAACATCCTTGTAAATCCCTTCTGTACATTCTTCAAATTTTCCATCTTTTCAGGTTGACAGAAACCAGATTTCCATACTTACAAGAATTGCTATGTAATATAAATAAATAGATTCCAGCTACAAGCATCTGTGAATTGTCAACTTATAACTCTAAACCCCTTATGAAACTCCACCCATATACACATGCAGACAGACATGAAACAAAACTGGTCTTATGGGTGAAGAGGAAAAACTCGAAAGGCAGTTCAATGTCCACCAGGATTCACTGATGTGATCAATAAGTCTCTAACTCATCGGTTAAAAGCAACAGCTTACAGTAACTGGGGAAGGCAAATAAACTGGCATTCTTCAGAGTCAAGGTGTTTATGCTGCAGAGACAAGAACAGCACTTCCATTTCCAGAGATCCAACAGCTTCTGAGTATTTTATTCACATATACAAGCTGTTCAGCCACCTGGGAGCCAATCACAAAGTGATGGACAAGCAATAGACCATTATTATCAACAACTAGTCGCTAGGTCTACTGACCAAACAGCTGTTTGTTGCTGACCGAATCTGCCTTCATACACGTCCCTGGTTCCAGCTTGTCTGTGGTAACCTATCCCAATTGCTTGAACAAATAGCTGTGTAAACAGCACTTACAATGAATGTGAAGTAACTTTCTTTTTGAAAAGTACATCAATCCCTTCTACATTCCTTGGTTTTTAAAACAGTTCTTTTCCCCATTTCAGTCCACAATCAAAATACAGAAAAAATATAAAAGAAATGTAAATATTCTAATGCACATCTTTGCAGGTACATGGGGACAGCTCATACCATCAGTTCCAGCCATTGCTTTGACTGATCATGTACAGGCACTTCCAAGTGCACAAGAATTCAAAAAAAAGGAGCAATAGTAAACCATTCAGCCCATCGAGCCTGTTCTATCATTCAATATGATCATGACTAAACTTAGCCTTCAACTGCACTTTCCTGCCCATTTCCCACATGCCTTAATTGCCTGAAAGATCATAAACCTGGCTGTCCAAGCCCTTAAACATATTCAATGATGGAGCGCCACAGATTTTCAACCCACAAGTGAAGAAATCTCCTCATCTCAGTCCTAAAGAATTGGCCCCTTAACAAGAGACTGTTCCCCAGCCTTTTAGATTCCCTGACCAGCAGAAACAATGTCTTACTGTACAATCTATCAAGCCCTTTCATCATCATCATCATCATAGAATCTCTACAGTGTGGAAACAGGCCCTTCGGCCCAACAAGTCCACACCAACCCTCAGCATCCCACCCAGACCCATACCCCTATAACCCAACTAACCTACACATCCCTGAACACACTATGGGCAATTTAGCATGGCCAATCCACCTAACCTGCACATCTCTGGGCTGTGGAAGGAAATGGAGCACCCAGAGGAAACCCACGCAGACACAGGGAGAGTGTGCAAATTCCATACAGACAGTCACCCGGGAGTGGAATTGGCCTGGTCCCCAGTGCTGTGAGGCAGCAATGAGATCACCTTTCATTCTTCTAAACCCCAGAGAATACAGACCTAATTTACTCAGTCCCGTGTCACAGCGCAACTCCTCTGGCCCAGGAGCCAATCTAATGAGTCATCATTGTGCCATCTCCAATGTAAGTATATGTCTCTTTAAATGTAGAGACCATTTGCAGTATTCCAGCAATAAAAACAGAAAGCCCCAGACATACCCAGAAGTTCTGGCAGCGGAAATTCCAAAGAAGAGTTGTATTGGACTCAAAACGTTAACTCTGTCTTTCCACAGATGCTGCCAGAACTGCTAAGTTTTGTCCAGCACATTCTGTTTTCATTTCAGATCTCCAACCTCCGCATTGTTTTCCTCCATGTATGGTCTTACCAGAGCCCTGTACCATTGTAGCAAAGCTTCTTTATTGCTGTACTCCAGTCCCCTTACAACAACGGCCAATATGCCATTTGCTTTCCTCACTGCTCGCTATGCCTGCATCTGTGTCCCTCGTACAGGTTCAGTTACTGGCCTCAGTAAATATTTCCATTCAGCAGCACAATGAAATGATCCAGCTAACATCCATTAGTTTGTCGGAGATTAGGGATTGGCGCTGTGCTGTTTGTCGCTGTGCATACAACCGTTAAGCTTCTACAAGAGCTTGCGGACAGAGATTTCTTTTTTAATGTTCTGTTGAACGAAACATGTTTTTAATGCAGTGATTCTGTAAGCAGTAGTTATGTAAATTGGACACAACAGTTCTGTAACAGCTGAACATTAATTTAGAATATAGAACATAGGACTATACAACACAGGAACCATGTCCAAAAATGATGTCATTCTAAACTAATCCAGTCTGCCCGCACATGGTCCATATCCCTCCATTCACCACCTGTTCATGTGTCTGTCTAAATGCCTCTTAAATATTCTAATAGTATCGACTTCTACCACATCCCCAGGCATTCCAGGCACGTCTGTATTAAAAACTTGCCTCACACATCTCCTTTAAACTCTTCCCCTCTAATATTAAATGTATGCCCCTAGTATTCGACATTTCCATCCTGGGGAATAGCTCCGACTATCCATGTTCCTCATAATTTAATACATTTTGTTTTTGTTCTCATGGAGCGCTTTATAAAAGCTTAGGATTTTGCTGCCGTTTTTAACAGTTTACCAAACTGCCAATCGCTGTCAAAGACTTCTTAGAGGTTTATAAAATGATAAATGGTACAGAAACTGGAAATGTAGAGCGTGTCTTCAAGTTACACAATAAGACAGGAGTGACAAATGAAGGGTAACCTTAGAAACAAAGAGAGAAGACGCTGGAGAAACTCAGCAGGACTGACAGCATCTGGGGGGAGAGACAGACAGAGTTAACACTTTGAGACTGGGATAACTTCTTCAGGACAGATAAACTTCAGAGTGAAATGAAGAAGGCCTTGGTCACATGAAGAGCAACCAATGCATGGAACAGACCTCTATATAGGATAATGGTGGTAAAACATTGGAATCATTTAAGAAACACAAGATGCCACAATGAGGTGCTGTTAGGTTTTATTTTCAGAATGGACTGGGCAGGATAGAATGAATAAACTTCTGCACTATTATTTACCTTATGATCTAGGGTGGGTTACATGCTTACATTAGCTCCCAGTCCAGCATTATACCAACTGAAAATTCTCCGTGGCCATGACACCTTCTTATCTCTATAACTTCCTCCAGCTTTCCAACCCTTGAAGATTCCCTCCAACTCTAGCCTCTTGGCTCTCCCTGATTTTCATCATTGCACCATTGGCAATCATGCTTCAATTGATACAACATTAAATGCCCTGTAAAGTTCTGCTATGCTAAAGATCCTATTGAAGTTGTAGTTGTTCCTGATACAGGGTAGGAAAAGTTGCTAGCTACTTGCTCTATATTGCTGATTGTTCTCTCTTCTCTATCCAGTGAAAGGACATGCTGGTCAGCTAGTATTTGGAGAGCTGAACGGGAAGACTTGTGTCTGCATGCAAGGGCGTTTCCACATGTTTGAAGGATACCCACTCACAAAGGTAATGGTAACATTTTCTGATGGATGATGTGCCCTTGGGTGCAGTCTGTCAGAGTCATGAAACAGACCCCACCAGAAACATGGTGTCAGGAATGGTGCACCTGAAAGTGTGTGGATTTTCAGAGCTGGAAGAGAGAGACGAATGCTGAAAGAAACAGCAAGGAAGAAGTCAAATAATAAAAAAAAATTCTGCAACTTAGAGTTACTGAGATAGTCAAAATGGCAATGCATTTTACACATCCTGCTGTTGTGGAAACGACATGAGACAGAATTACCAGATAATAGAGGAACAGCCAATGATAATATAGATGCGTATCATTAGGAGACCCAGCTAATTTAAAGACGACGCATACAAAGCATGGGCAGAGACTGATGAAGGTGGAACTGATTAGAGTGAACACAGTGAATGATAATTTTCTTTCTACCATATATTTTAGGTAATTTGCATAATGTGTAACTGCAGTTGTCTGACTTCTCAGATGGAAATCACAGAGAGCCAGCTTCAATGACATACATGACATGGTTGCAAAATTATAAATAACATCTGTATCTTATATAGCACCTTTAAACAAGTAGAAACATGTCAAGGTGCTTTAATGGAGAGATTATCACACAGAATTTTACACAAAGCTGCATTAAGGAGATGTTAGAGCAGGTGACCAGATGCTTGGTCAGGGAGCATTCTAAAGGAGAAGAGAGAAGTTGAGAGGGGAAAGGTTCAGAGAGGAAATTTCAGAGCTAACAGACAGCTCAAAGCGCAGCTACCAATGATAGAGTATTGAAACGCAGGGATAGGCATGGAAGTTAAAATTGGAGCAGTGCAGAAAGGTGATTGGGTTGATGCGTTGGAGATTACGGTGTTAAGGACTGCAATGAAGTGACTTCAGCGAAAATAATTCTAGCACAGGGTTTGGTTAACAAATGGCCCATTTCTCAGCAATACTGCTTTCAGAAAGATCCAAGATTTTTACATTGTGGTTTTGCAACACAACTGCTCTGATCATGAGTCTTTGAAATAAAGGTGGTGGAAAGAGAATCTTTGAATATGTTTAACACAGAGGTAGATAGATTAAATCATAGTGTCACATAGCTCAGAAACAGACCCTATTGTCCAACCAGTCCATGCCGACCGTAATCCCAAACCAAACTAATCCCACCTGCCTGCACTTAGCCTATATCCTTCCAAACATTTCTTATTCATGTACTTATCTAAATGTCTTTTAAACATTGTAACTGAACCCACATCCACTACTTCCTCTGGAACTTCATACCACACACAAACCACTCTCTGGATAAAAAAAAATTTGTGCCCATGTCTTTTTTAAATCTTTCTCCTCTCACCCTAAAAATATGCCCCCGGTCTTGCAATCCCCTACCCAAGGGAAAAGACACCTGCCATTCACCTTATCTATACCCCTAATTATTTTATAAACCTCTCAATTTCCTACGCTTCAGTGAGAAATGTCCCAGCCTATCCATCCTCTCCTTATAACTCAAATCCACATTACTGGCAACATCCTGGTAAATCTCTTCTGAATCCTCTTCAGCTTAATAATATCCTTCCTATAACACATCCAAATCATTTATATAAATGACAAAAAGCAGTGGACTCAGCACTGTTCCTTATGGCACACTGCTGGTCACAAGCAACCAGTCTGAAAAACAACCCTCCACCAACATCTTCTGTCTCCTACTTTCAAGCCCATTTTGTATCCAAATGGCTAGCTCTCCCTGGATTCCATGCGATCTAACCTTGCAAATCAGTCTACCATGAGGAACCTTGTTGAACGCCTTGAATTCCATATAAACAACATCCACTGCTCGTGATGGATATCAAAGGTATGTTCTGGAATGAATGCTCTTGTGTGAAGTACCTCCCTGTCAATCTGACTCACGCTGTTTAGATGAAAGATGCTAAATGAAGAGTGGGGAAGGAGATTAAGTATGATCAGCTGAGATTCAACAAGCATAGAATGCATCATATGCCACACTGAAATCTGAAACATTAAATTACTTTACAAATTATTTCCAAGCAGAGTGAAGATAATCGAAGACGCATGTTGGGAGATGAAGCTGAGGGGATACAGTAACATTATTTCATAAGGTGTTCTGAGAAAGGGTCACCAGACCTGAAACGTTAACTCTGATTTTACTTCACAGATGCTGCCAGAACTGCTGAGCTTTTCCAGCAGCTTCTGTTTTTGTTACATCATTCAAAATGGTCATTGTCGTATAAGTACATATATTGCATTGTTTGTACTTGGCTCTTTTTCCTGCAAATGTTGGCTTTATCTTAAGACAATCTCACATACTCAGCAATCAAAAATCCTGCAAACAACAATTGGGTGAATGTATTACATGCTAAAATTAAATTGGAATTTGGCCATTCCAAACTATAAACAGCTGAATGCTCACTTCAGTAAATTGACTATTACCAGTAAGAACAACCTAATATATTATAAACTTAATGTAATCTTATATTCTTGACAAGAAAGGGGGTTGTGGGGTACCTGGGAATGTGAATTGAAGTTAGAACTATGTGAATATGACCTTAGGAAAGTATTCAAGGATGACTGAAATGGTTTCACATCTGCACGCATGGTACGTGAAGGTGAATGGTAGCCTTTCTGAATGTTAACTTGTGTTTTTCTCTCCCCATTTCTTCAGGTGACTTTTCCTGTCCGTGTGTTCCGACTGATGGGTGTTGAAGTCATGATCGTGACCAATGCTGCAGGATCAGTTGCCGATGGTTACAACACAGGAGATATCATGATCATTAAGGACCACATTAATATGCCAGGTCTCATTGGGCTGCATCCTCTCATTGGACCCAACGATGAACGGTATGTAGTCATGAAAGTTCATACAGTCAAACCTTTTATATCTATTATTTGCTCCTTTTCCACGTTCTTTCTTCTTAGACAGACGTGGAATATAAGGCCACTCTGCCCATCAGCCTCATGTTAATATAAAAGTAAGATACTGTGGATGCTGGAAATCTGAAACAAACACAGAGAATGTTGGAGAAACTCAGCAGGTCTGACTCAGGAGAAACATCTACACCCAGAGAGTAGTGAGAATGTGGAGTTCATTACCAAACTGAGCAATTATGGTGAATAGGCTGAGAGGGGACCTGACTGAGGCATATTTAAAGGAAAGGTAGATAAAAACATGTAGAGTTGTAAGGAACTGAAGGATACACTGGCAGCATCAGCCAAAGCATTAGAGATGCCAAGAGGCTGTACCAGACCAAGCCAGGGGCCCAAAATAACCACACAGACACCTGCCACCTGTGGCAAGGCCTACACACAACGGGATACAAAATGAAGCAGAGCAAGAAAGCGGGCAAAAACACATCCCTCCCTGATGTGCTCAATGCTTTCTGTGCTGGGTTTGAGCAGAATGCCAGCGGCGCAGTGTCACCTGGTCCGACAGTCCCAGATGCACCTATTCCCTCAGTCACCGCTGCAAATGTCAGATCAACCTTCTTGGGAGTGAAACCTGAGGAAAGCGATTGGCCCAGAATGGAGTCCCAGGCCTGGGCGGACCAGCTGGTGGGGGTATTCGTTGACACCTTTAACCTTTCCTTGCTTCAATCTGAAGTCCCCACCTGCTTCAAGAAGACCACCATCATCCCAGTACCAAAGAAAACACATGCAATGTGCCTCAATGACTACTGACCTCCATAATCATGCAGTGTTTTGAGACGTTAGTCACTGCTTACATCAACGCTAGCCTCCCAGCCTGCCTCGGTCCCTTGCAACTTGCCTGCTAGTGAAACAGGTCCACAGCTGACACCATTTCCCTCGCCCTACACTAATCCTGGAACATCTGGTTAATAAGGATACCTACATCAGGCTGCTACTTATTGACTACAGCTCCACCTTCAACACTATAACCCCAATTAAACTAATCTCAAAACTCCGAAAACCAGGTCTCAGCTCTGCCCTCTGCAACTGGATCCTCAGTTTCCTGACCCACAGACCACAATCAGTGAAGATAGACAACAGCACCTCCTCCAAAATAATCCTCAACACGAGCAAGGATGTGTACTCAGCCCTCTACTGTATTCTCTGTACACTCACAACTGTGTTGCTAAATTTCATTCAAACACCACTTACAAGCTCACTTATAACACCACGGTTGTAGGCCAGATAACAAACAATGAGAAGTCAGAATACAGGAAGGAGGTAGAATGCTGGGTGTCATGGTGCAATGATAACATTCTCAATGTCGGCAAAACAAAAGAACTGATCATTGACTTCAGGAAGAGAGGAGGAGGACATGCCCCTATCTACTTTTGACTTGATAGAGGTGTACAAAATGATCAGAGGTATAGATAGAGTGGACAGCCAGAGACTTTTTCCTTGGGTGGAGGTAGCTATTACGAGGAGGCATAGTTTTAAAATGAGTGGCAGTAAATATAGTAGAGATGTCAGAGGTAGGTTCTTTACTCAGAGAGTGGTAGGGGCGTGGAATGCATTGCTGGAGAGGATAGTGGAGTCGGCCTCATTAGGGGCATTTAAGTGGCTATTAGATAGGCATATGGATGATAGTATAAGGTAGGGGTGGAGGTTACATAGATATTAGGTTTAGGGTAAAAGTTCAGCACAACATCGTGGGCCAAAGGGCCTGTACTGTGCTGTACTGTTCTATGTTCTATGTTCTATTTACATCGACTGAGATGGGGTGGAGAGGATCGAGAGCATTAAGTTCCTAGGAGTGACCATAACCAACAATCTGTCCCGGACGACCCACATAGATGCGACAGTTAGGAGAGCACAATGACGCCTCTTCTTTCTTAGGAGGCTAATTATATTTGGCATGTCCGTAAGGACCCTCAGCAACATTTAGAGAAAGCATTCTATCTGAGTGCGTAACAGCTTGGTAAAGCAACTGTTCTGTCCAGGACCATAAGAAACTACAGAAGATTGTGTACAGCCCAGACCGAGGCAAGTCAACCTCCCATCCATGGAGTCTGTCTACACGTCTTGTTGCTGCAGAGAGGCTGCCAACATCATCAAAGACCCCTCCCACCCCAGTAATGCTCTCTTCCAATCTCTTCCGTCAGACAGAAGGTACAGAAGCTTGATCACACGCACCAACAGGTTCAAGAACAGCTTCTTCCCTGCTGTTATTAGACTGCTGAATAGACCTCTCTAATTTCAAATCTAATGTTGACCTTGCTTTGTGCACCTCCTGTGCAGCTGTAACCTTGTGTGCCTTGCTCTGTCTAAACACCCGATGATCTGTATGTCCTTATATGGTATGATCTGCCTGTACTGTTCGCAAAACAAAACTTTTCACTGTACCTAGGTACATATGGCAACACTAAATCAAATCAAAATCAAACAAAGGTTGGACGAAAGGTCATGTGGAATATAAATACCAATGTGAATCAATTTGGCTGTTTCTGGATTGTAGATACCATATAAAGCTAACAATATAAACTCCCAGCAGAATTATTTGTTTACTTTTTTAATTAATTTTGATGAGAAAATTAATGAAGTAAAAGAGGGAGCAGAGTTAAAAAAATTAAAATGGTGGTGCTCTTGTTTGTAGGTTCGGTACCCGTTTTCCGAGCATGTCTGATGCATATGACAAAAGCCTCGGGAAACTGGCCATGGAAATAGGCAAGGAACTGAAATGCTCTAATTACATAAAGGAAGGTGTCTACTGCATGGTTGGAGGCCCGAATTTTGAGACCATTGCTGAAGCTCGTCTTCTTCACATACTTGGAGTTGATGCTGTGGGTAAGATATTTCAATAGAAAATAGCTATGAAGAAGAGGATGGATAAGCTCGGGTTGTTTACTTTAGAGCAGAGAAGGTTGAGGGAAGACCTGCTAGAAAGTGTATAAGATTACGAGGGGCGTGGACCGGGTCAATAAGAAGCAGCTGTTCCCCTTAGCTGAAGGGTCAATAATCAGGAGGCATAATTTTAAAGTGAAAGGCTGGAGGATTAGAGGGAATTTGAGGAAAAACATTTCACCCCGAGGGTGGGGAAATCTGGAATGCACTACCTGGGAGGGAAGTTGAGGCAGGAAACCTCAGAATCTTTAAAAAGTACCTGGATAAGCACTTGAAGTTTCAATACATTAAAGACTATGGGTCAAGAGCTGGAAAGTATGATTTGTGTAGATAGGTTGGAGCAGACTAGATGGGCCAAAGGGCCTCTTTGATGCTGTATGACTGTTGCAATGGTTTTCCGCAGGCTACAGAATGAAAGGTAAACTTAGCTTTATCATGCTCTTCTTATTACCTCGGGACATTCTGTAACACTCTAGTCAATTAAGTACTTTCAACATGTAGTCACTCTTACATCATAAAAAGTACAGCAGCCAATTAGTGCACAGCATGCTCCCAAAGAAAGAGCGATAAAATAAATGGTCAGATCGTCTGTTTTCAGTGTTGTTTGAGAGATAAATATTGGTCAGAACATCAAGAGTACTCCCCTGCTTTTAATTGAATTATAGAACAGAATCTGTAATTTCCATCCAGCAGTGCAGCACTCCCTTCATATTGCAGAGGGTTTGGTTACCAAAGGCCTATATCTTAGCAATGCTGCTTTGGGAAGATCCAAGATGTTTGCATTGTGGTTTTGTAACACCATTGGTCTGATTGCATCAGGGTGTGTCTGGAGTGGAACTTGACCCATAACCTGCTGACTTAGAAATTAGAGTGCAAACCAGAATGAATATAGGCATGTAAAAGGTGACAATGGTGTTGAGGTGTAGGCTGAGCAGCAACAAACCACAGCATTTTGAGTATCAGTATACAGTGACAGTCTAATCTCTCTCATTTATAAATATCACGTGACTCACAGCCCTTGTTAATTCCCATTAATACTTTAAACATTCCAATAACATTTCTGAAAGCTGAGGTCAACAAATGCACTTCACTGTACAAGATTCTGAGTTCCCTTGTGAATGCTAAATGCATGCAATGCTTTTTACCTTTTGTGCTTCCACTCTTAGGCCCTCATCTGTTGGCATTGTCATCCTCTTTTTATTGTTGAGCCTTGGTGTTTCAGTAACACTTCTTATCCATCCTCATTTGCCTTTAACTGTTCAGTTTTCTCACTGTTTGTACTCATCATTCTGTCCAACCTTGCATAATTCTCAACATTCTAGTGATGGGTAATAAATGCTGGGCCAGCCAGTGATGCCCATATCCCATGAGTAAAGTTTGAAAAAACTGTGAGCCATAGATAGAGTTTAGAGGACAGACATTCAGCCCAACTGATTGATGCTACTGCTTATGCTTCATACTACCCTAACCTCCCGTCTCCATCCATCCATTCTACAAGCAGCCAATATAGACTCAAATGATGTCCTTCTGCTCTGTGATAACAAGGTGTAGAGCCGGATGAACACAGCAGGCCAAGCAGCATCAGAGGA